GTGTGTGTATGTGTGTGTTTGTGTGTGTGTGTGTGTGTGTGTGTAAAACAGAGACTTGGGCTGCTCAGACCAGTAATGGTATTTAGGTATTTACATGTACTCATTCCATGCTAAGCCACTAAGTATTGTTGATAAAGAATACAGTGAGTGTTTCAATCCATGATGTATCGCTGATATGTCAATCATCATTTTGTTTCATGTCATACTTCGGCTGTGAATGTCGTTTTATTTTCTGTCATTATTTATTTCAGTAAATGCCTTTTCATAATCCTTATTCTTTTTCCTTTATTTTGGAGTATAATGTCACCACATGTGATAAAATATAAACAAAACAATAGCCTTCAAAGTGAGCAACCCAATAGGCTTGTAGGATCATTGACCTCATGGTACGGAATGAGTTAAGAGCTTCATTTTTCAATTTGTAAAGCAGTTATATCCTATGACATTACTAAGAAGAGCACTTGCAAATGAAATTGAGAAGAGGACCAAAAAAATGTAGTCTCTTTACTTCTTGATAGACTAATGTGAGAAAAAAAAACGTCAATAGAGCAAAAGTGAACCAACAAACATGGGAATATAAAATGAAAACGCGACACTCACTTTAACCTTGAGCTGTCTGCTTGGTAGGTCAGTGTAGGCCAGATCCCAATCTTCACAGGCCCAGTCCCTCTGAGAGAGGATTGTCTCCACCACCAGCAGGTCTGATATAGCATCACCCACCGTCTGAAACCAAGAAAAAGTGTTCAGCTCTAAGATGCCAGTCAACCTGCAATTGTTTCATCCTTTAAGTCAAAATAGCCATTCTTCGAAGCTTAACCATCATTGGGTGGGTGGGGTTCTTGTTTCCATATCATCCTGTTTGTTGATAAAACTTTTGAGCTACATATAGAAGCTGATATTCTTTGTAAGCCCTTTTTCCCCTGAGAACCTACAATTATTGGCAAAGGTAAGGGGGTCAGTGGCCAGAATTTTAACTCTTTTTATCCGGGCTACGAGTATTCTCGGAACAGCGATACGGTCACGTCAAAGAAGCTAGTTCTGCTTGTAATTACCAAAATACGCAAATACGGCGATGCTAGCTCTGCCTGAATATTTTAATTTTCGATGGGTGTAGAAGCTTGAAAGTTGTCTCGAAAAAGCACATTCCCGACCGACGAAGTACTTTTTGAAGTGGCGCTGGGTTGTGAGGGGGAATGATACTAATTTGATGAAAGTGGCACTGAAATAATCCGTTTTGGATGATAAGAAACAGGACTTAGACTCATCTAATAGCGATTTCGATTATGGTGAAGGGGTCGGTGCTGGAATTCGTGCTTGATGGGTAGGGCTAGATCTAGATCTATAAAATCCAATGGGACGTCGTGGGCGCGGCAATCAGGGTCAAGTTCGAGGGTGGAATACACCTCAAAATCTACATTGTGCTATTGGTGTATTTCCTAACCACACACATTTACAAAAACTACATTCAATTTCTAACGTAACTGCCAAATTTCCTTAAAACCTCAGAATAAATGTAAGAAATATAGCACTTTGAACTATACGCACTGACTTCCGACTCATACGGCGCGGCGGCCCCAGGATGGGTACAGAGTCCGTGGCGGTACGGCTAGGATAAAAAGAGTTAAGAACAAAAGCTTTCTGAGACGCCAACGTGAAAATGGTCTTAGCTCAAAAAGTTAACACTCCCTTTACAATCCATACACTATGTGCAGAATGCCAGCAAACTCCAATCAGAAGCTAACATTCTTATATGTGAAGATGAAGAGGACTCTTGACCAACTGAAATCAGTTAACTAAGAAAAAGTCTCTGGAGCAGCTGGGGTACTGTAAAGTGTTGGCTGTAAAGTAGCTGAACAAAGAACTCAAAATGCAGTGCATGAACTTGTCTCTGGATCTGTTGAAACTGTGTGGAGAATGCGGCGGCGTTGTCCTGGGAGAGGGTGGGGTCATCAAGGGAGCTAATGACCCCTTGGCAGTGAATAATATTATATAGCAGGTCATGAGAGTTGGACACATAGGTATCTTTCTTCAGGAGTAGCAATTACAGCAGCAGCAGTAACAACTTTCAAGTGTTTTTTTTTTTTCCACCATACCAATACCTCACAATCTTATGTCATATATACATAACTAAGATCTGGCATCCATAAAAATAGGACCTGAGACCAAAAAAAAACCCGAACTGACTTGTGCAAATTACAGCACTCAAGAATAAAAAAGAGACTCCGTAACATGGAAACATCCACTGTCACAGCAATTCCAAAAAGATTACAGTTAAATAATCAGGGAAGAAATTGGTGGCCACTGTGTTCTGGGATGCCAAAAGTGTTCTGCTTTTTAATATTTCTATTGCCTGGGTATACTGTAAATGTGACAAATTATTAAGAAACACTTGACAAGTTTCCAGAAGCTGTATGTCGAAAAGACTAAGGCATCTGTGAAAAGGCATTATTTTCCAACATGCATATGAGACTCTGTACAGACAAGGTAAACCTGATAAAAAACTGAATCCACAGGTAGCCTACATCTGAAGGGCACTGCTGCGTTCTTTACATGATCCTGACCCTGCTCAAGGCTTTCATCTTTTCCAGCGCCAAAAGTGTTATTAAGCAGGGAAGAGGCCCACAGAAAAAGATCATCTTATTTCAGAGGTCTAAAATTGGCTGTGCTCTCATGAGCCAGTGGAAAAAATGCATGAGGAATATGCTGAAGAGCAGCTGAATGTAGTATTACAAAGTGTGTATATTTTATTCAGATCGATAAAAAATCTATCATTCAGCAGTCATTTTCAAGCTTTGTACATTGTCCAGTGTGGTAGATAGCTAAAACATTTTTATAAAGACACCAATACCTCACTAGGGAGTCAGAAATCACCAGCCCTCAATCACTTTCCACCAAGAATGATATGCTAGCCGTTACACCTGTAAGTTGTAGCTTTGCTTCTTTAAGGATAAAACATAGTTTCAGACATAGTTTTAGAAAACAGTCAATAAAGCATTTGGAGCTTTTTCACTCAAGCAGACAGAGAGATAGAAAATTTTTTTAAAATCTTATTGGGAAAGGAGAAAGAAAAGGAGACACGGAGAAGTGAGAACTGATGCCTTTTAACTAATGAAAGTCAATGTGCTGAACACATACAAACGTGTAAATACAAATGACAGGGAAGGAAAGAAAGGGAGAATAAAAAGAAAGACATAAAGGCAGAGAGAGAGAAAAACAGAATGGGAGAAGAGGAAGAAAGAAAAATTCAAGGGCTGAAAAGTACGATCAAAACCTCACCTGGTTGATCAAATTCATGACAGTCTCTAATTTCACAGCAGCGTCTCTGGTGGCTTCATCAAGGCTAGAATAAAAACACAATAGCAAACATTGTTCATCTAAATTTCTGCTTGACTTTTCATATTTCTGTTTAGAACATGCTACAAAATTTAGATCAGTCTTCACATGGGAAAGAAATCCTATTCTTTTTTCTTGAGGTTTTATGGCTCTGGTCGAGCTCACTGGAAGATTCTATCTCTGAAAATGTTTTCTCAGTCGTATAAAGTGGCATAAAATAATAGCCCTTCCCTCTTTTTTTTCCCCTCAACTCTGATTACATCTTCTACTTACTAACTCTCACTCACTTCCTTCTTTATTTTCATCTTGCTCCCCCCCCCTCCCCCAACCACTCCCTCCTTCTCTTTGTCCATCTCTTTCTTTCCTCTCCCTTGTTTCTGTTCAAAGCAGTCTGCTTCACATAGATAAACAACCCTGTATACAACCATTATATCAAAAAGTGTATCAACGCACAGGCGTCAACGTCAATACATTGAAGGGCACTTACCCAGTTTTCTTTGACTGGTCTAAAATGGCTTTCTGAGCATCATTGCTGAATAAGACCTGCGTAAAGCAAAAGGTGTGGGTTAAAACAAAGAAGATACTTAGATCTAGTCAAAGATAGTAAATAACAAGATGGGCCACTCAGCCAAAAAAGTGTCCGCAGGAAGAATGCTCTTTGCTTCAGATGGCGCTGCAGTCTGTTTTGAAGCTCTCTTTCGTTTTTCCAGAAGAAGAATAGGAATAGCACCTCCTTGCGTGCGCAGATCGACTGCTGTTCATAAGCAGTTCGGGTACGTTCAGTGCGGAGTTTTAGGTTTTTAAAAATATTTTAATGACCTCTCGCCTTTCATTCTAAAGTCAAATTAAACGAAGAAAACCATCACCCTTTCCTCCGGAAGAGGTTTTTTGTCAGCGCAACCATTTTAAAAAAGCGTTCTTCCGAAATTTATCTCAAAACTCGCTAGTTTCACTTTGATTTTTTAAAACTCAAGTAGGGTAACTCTGTTCGCAAAGAGTGCGCTTTTGTGAAGAGGGCGCCACCAAATTTTGAGGACACTTTTTTAATTGGCTCAAAGAGAGAAGTGGCCCATCTTGTTATCATTGATCTAGTACAAACAAAAAGTATTCATTTTCTATTTTCAATTAAATCCATTCAAACAGTCACGATACATGCTCCAGTTCTCGAGTGCCCTGATGTTAATTGTATTCTAATGAAAAAAATAATTTTATGTAGCTTTTTTTTTACACCCAAATTGACACACTGTAGATCATTTAAGAAGCGGGCTTTGACCTTGCATGTCAGCGCTAACCCGCGCAGAGAGGAATACAACTATTCAGCTCAGCAAAGAGACCGAGACACTCAAGAAAAATTATCCCAACATGGGAATCAAACTCATGTCTTCTGTGTGCCATGGCAAAGCACCTAACCACTAGACCACAGATGCTGGTAAATTTAATGATAACCAAACCTATTTTTACAAAAGGACTCCATATAACCTCTGACCAGACCAATGTGAAAAGAAATGGCCAACTTAATTAAATCAGCTTTTCTTCAGACTCTAACCATTGTGGACATTTACACAAATCAACACGTCAACTCTTCGTAAATTCTACCTCAATTTTTGGGAACAGTTTCAGGAAATAATCTTCTTTTGAACAGAAATGAGTGTCGAACTATACATTTTTACACAACCAACTAAAACAAAAGAAAGTGAAAACACTGTATTAGCAAACATATATAAACACATCAACAACAAAAAATCCCAACTCGGAGCAATTCACACATTTGTCTAATCACAAGAGAGGCCACAGAATTCAAAGCAAGTTCAAGTAGAATGATTCAAGCTCAAAAAGATCAGAACAGAAATATCTGCATCATTTTGTTCAACACTGTAGAAGTGAGATATAACACACTTTAGAGACCTATTAGTTGTAAAAGAAACTTGAGGAGGAAACTGAAGTGAAGTTGTGATTTGTCAGCAAAAGCTGAATACTGCTATTTTATTACAATGAATGAAACAACTGCCAAAGATCATAAGCAGATCAATTTCAATTTTCTCATTCACTGTAATAGATAGAAGCACAACCCCTTTAAAAAATGTTTGGAATCTAACATTCATTCACACCCATTGAGACCTCACTGTCATGCAGCTGTGGACTTGTTAGAATCACCCCTAAACCATCTTTTCTGTTTTGTCCTGCTGATGACTATCATAAAGTGTTTCTACAAGTTGTATCTCTGTGTTGATAATGGTTTGAGTTTTCTTGACACCACAAATAGCAGTCTGCTTCTTCTTTCCTATCAAACATCTATCGTCCTTATCTCCCCTCCTTCTTTTTTATGTTTGTTACTCGCTTGTAACATCTCTGATCTTCGGCACTTATATGACTTTATTGTGTTGCAAGTGCCATAAAACACTTACTAAAACTAAAGCAGTCTGCAACATACAAAAATGAAAATCCATTTGATTAAAAATACCCCAAAACTGTAGGCATTCAGGGAATACCACAGTGAGAAATATACTGTACCTTGCAAATAAGCAGCAGCAAATCAGCATGGTGCTAAAAAGTTAACCATATTTTGATAAATAAGATAAAGGTGTATTACACGCCGACAGTAGGCCAAAACAAAACGCTGGAAATACTTACTGTCCCATGCCCATTGGCTTCAAAGTACACTCCTTTGTATATATATATATATACTTACTGTCCCATGCCCATTGGCTTCAAAGTAGACTCCTATATCAAAGTCTTCTGCCTTGTGGTGCAAATGCTTCACACCCGTGGGAACACAAGCTACAGGAACTTTCTGGAAAATGAAACAAAAATAAAATACCGGTAATTTAAAGACATTTGAAACCAGCGGAAGAGTATGCTCATCATTATTAAGTCTAACAAGTTGGGCAAAAGAGATTTTTCTTCCTACACCCCAAGAGTTTGGTATCCCTCCCCCCCCAAAAAAACCCAACAAGTATCATAACATCAGAGAGAAAATTTTTAAAAAGTCTAAAAACACATTTGTTGAAAACAATCCTGTGTCAGTAAGTTTTGTATGAGAGTAGGTGTGTGGGACTGGAAGTAGTGAGTGTGTGTGGGAGTATGTGTGTTCTGTTGTGCATGTGTGTGTGTGTGTGTTTGTGTGTGTGTTCTTAAACAGTCTCACAATAGTGTGCCCTCTGTGTCCTTTGATTCATCAGTTAAGTGATAATTCTGCACTGCAGAGCGCTTTCTTAAAGCCTTCTTGCTGTCCCCGTGGTTTTATGCCAAAAATAAAATCTGAAATAGTGCAAACTGAACCCAAAAATGGGAAATTATGTGATTCTGTAAATTTTTTCACAAAGAATGATAAAGGAAAATAATCAGAAATTATGCATAAAATGATCAAATATTGCTAACTTATGCGGGGTGCATAAAACCACGCGGAGAGTTCTAGGTATTAGGTGGTATATAAATTGTTATAGCTATCAATATTATTATTGTTTTCTTGTTTTCACTGCTGTCCTAATGTGTAAAAATTAATCTTTTTCCCTAAATGTGAGTTGAATTGTATTTCTTGTGCATATAAAAATTTTTTCTTAGGTGTGTGAGTGTGAGGTTTACTCTCAGTAATCATGTTATCTATGTAAAGCGCTCAGAGCTTTTACGTTCATCGAATAGAGCACTATATAAATGCAATCTATCATAATTATCATTTAATTCCAAATTCTGTATCTATAGTGCTTCCAATAGCCGAAGCTGAAAAGTAAGGAAAATTCTGCGGGGGTTCTACCCAAAAAATTTTTTTTTAAATTAGAGAAATCAGCATCTTTCAGTCACTTTGGAAATTTTTGTCGAATGTTTTTGTTTGCGCAACACCTTGTATGTTAATTCAAAAACACTTTTATGTGTGGATTTCACGGTAAAACGTTGACTAAAGGCACAACAAATTTAAATTAACAGTTTCCAAGGACTCTTAAGCTATGAAAGTTACAAAACTTTGGCGGCCATTTCCTTGCTCATTTTATCTCTGAAAACCAGGCGACCCCACCTCCTTCAATCGCAACTATCTCAACTTCTATTCAAGATAAATGGATAATTTTTTTACAGAAAGCAAGGCAAATGAACAATCTTTAAGATGATATCAATAACTCCATATGCTAAAAAATTGATGAGCGCCTAATTTCACTGCGTCCTGACACATATGTTTTTTCAAGAGCATATGAGCATTCTATAATGGATTCATAATTATATATTTTTTAAAAGACCTGTTTGATCGTACTTTACAAGTCTTAAAAAACATGAAAAAGAAGTGATGATGGTAAATGAGAACAAGTAGGCCCTACTACAGCCAAACCCGCTCTAAAGGCCACCTGTCTCAGACAATCACTTATACAATCGACTGCTTCCCATTTTGCCCATTGTGTATTTTTAATATCAAAATCACACTGTCTAAGATGTTCACCTGACTAGGACAACCATTTTTCTCCTGGACAATGGGTGACCATCTTGAACAATTTCAACCGTATTCATAAGTAATTACCATAACATAACTGCATTTATAATTAATTACCATAACGTCAGTGATGTAAGATGTTGAACTGCCATTTGCGTAAGCTGTTTGGACCAGTCCCAAGTTCAGCTTCAATCCACTGGATTTCAAGAGATCACTCAGGTAGCCAGCAAACTGAAAATGTAAGCATTTCTCATGGTCACTTGATTGGATGCCTTGTATTTTTGTTTTTAGTAAGTGTTTTATGACACCCGCAACACATTTAAGTCAAAGAAGTGCCCAAGATTAGAGGTGTTTGCATGCAAAGAAAAGAAGGATGAGAGATAAAGACGATAGACACTTGATAAGAAAGAAGGAGCAAACCACACCAGAGCACCTGCCTACCACCCAGACACCTTGTTGTTAAGAAGTTCACTTTCACTAGTGGTTCTCAAACTTCCAGTCCTATCAATAGTTTATCAAGAGATGGTCAACAGTTTGGAACCTTTGTATTTTAACATCTGTCATTTATTTCATTGCTGAAATATGGGAAAAAGCACTGTAGAATTGGAAATCTAGTAGAAAAGGCGTTTGTTTAAGATTATCTAAAAAATCATAATCTCTAATATGTAACAAAAACTAGAAAAGTTTCCTTTCCTTACTATATAATTACTGATCTTAGAGAAATTTACCAGTGACATAAAAAGCTTAAAAATTATGAAAGCTTCAAATACAATTCATACCACTGCATAGCTGAACCGTAATTACAAATACGGACAAAGATATCAAGTACAGAAATATTCAAAGAAGAATATCATTCTAGATACTAACTAAATAACCAACCTCCTGTATAAAATATAAGCTTTCAGTATAATGTACGTTAGCATGTACGTTTGTGCCAGTGTGTGTGTGTGTGTGTGTGTGTGTGTGTGTGTGTGTGTGTGTGTGTGTGCGTGTTTCTGTATGTGTTTGTGTGTGAGCACACACGTGAGTAAATGGATGTATTTGTAAGAGAAAGCATATAATATTTATGCATGTGATGAGAGAATGTTTGAGTGCATATGTTCAGAAGAATGCGTTTGTGTATAAAAGAATGTGCATGCATGCAGGCATGTATGTTATAAGTAGATCAGTCAATATTTGGATATGTGAATGTGAACTACATAGCTGAATTCCTCTGTGATATCAACAGGGGCCAGCTTTATAATTCTTTTCAACTCGAATACATACCAGTGTAGCAATCTTGTCTCCATCCAGTAAACAAAATTTCCCCCCAGAGGTCTTATAAAAATACACAATGCGGTCAGCATCTCCATCAAAGGATGCACAGCGCATTCCAGGCTCAAGATTGATGCCTAAAAAGACAGAAAAGAAAAGAAAACTGCACTATTATGTGGGCAATGCTGGCAAAATGAGTTACATCTCTCAATCCACAAATGGAGATTGGAGATATCGGCTGAAAATTGACATTGGGGTTGAATTTGCAGATTTTCAAGTGATGCCATCTTTTTCAAATTCGACACATCTTTAATAACTGCACCCTAAAAATTATACAAACTCAACCCATAAATTTTTTACATATCTTTATCCATAGGGCTAAAATCCGAGAAGTAAGTCATTTTGTCAGCACACATGTTATGGTCTCAATACAGCCAAAAAAAAGTAATTAAAAGATTCCCTGTGTCTACCATATTATGCCAGGTAGTTCAGCACATATCGAGAGACATAAATCAAAGAGATGAACGAAAGTTGCAGATAGAAATGAAATAATCAACAGTTTGCTTTACTGCCTTTCCTTTGTCTGTGTAATGTCGTTTTCAATTTTAGAGGCTGAACACATTCAAAAGGACAATCAAGTATGATCAATTCAGTATAGAACTGAATTCATATATCAGTTGAACTACTTTAGGATAAAAAATTCAGCTATAAAAAATACTGTAGGGGAAAAACATACATATTTAAATTACATTTGATTCACTCACCTGCTGGGGGCATCTGGTTGAGTTTCACAAAGTCAGCACCACACTGAAAAGATGAGTAAAAATATTTGTGTCACGACGCAGTGGAATCAGGCTCTCGTCAATTTTGGGCATGTAGAATAATTGGACTCATCTTAAAGCTTGTTCATTTGTCTTGCTTTCGATGAAAATAAATTCATTTATCTTGAATACAAGTCGAGATATTTGCGAATCAAGGAGGTGGGGGTCACCTGATTTCAGATGTAAAATTAGTGAGAAAATGGCTGCCAAAGATTAGAATTTCCTTAGCCTGAGAGTCCATGAAAACAGAAAATTTACATTTTTTGTGCTTTTAATCAACGTTTTTCAATAAAATCTACACAGAAATGTGTTCTATAATGTGCATGAAAGGCGTTGAGAGAAAAAACAAAAATTAGATAAAAAATCACAAACCTGTGGAAAAAAGCCAGTTTCTTCACTTTGATTATTTTGACGAGCATGTGATTTCACCATGCTACCTCACACATATAAATTATATTTATCAGTACCTACTTTAAAACTAATGTCAAACACACAAAAAAAAGCAGCCGAAGGAAACATTTTCATATAATTAAAAAAACGAACAAAAGTGTAGGAAACACTCTGAGCAAAACTATTGAAAAAACTGAATTTTGAACAACAAATTCCATTGCAGGCCATGTTCATATGTATTTCTGAGACCCTTGACAAATATGAATTAAAAAAATTTCATCACAAGTCTGTCTAAAAAAGTTCCATGTCATTCCTACACAACTGCAGTGAAATCCTATCTATGAAAGAGGGAATTAATAACATGCAATTGAACCTCCTCTACAGGCCACCTGTTCAAGACAATCACCTGTAGAAATAACCACTTCCCATGACTCCCTCGTGTTGTTGTTGTTTTTTTTCACACATTATAACGACGCTGTCCAAGATGTCCGCCTGTCTAAAACAATCAGTTTTCTCTGCAACAATGGGTGTGTGACCATCTTGTTCAATTTCGTTTGCACATGTACTTTGATTCTGACTACCAAATTGGAGAAAACTGAGTTCACCAACAAAAAAAATAAATAAATAAATAAATGGCATAAATAAATAATGAAATACAGAATAGTAAGATTCCGAAGGACTAACCTGTAAAGATACACAAAGCTAAAACCCAAAGTAATAGCTGCAGCAGCAGTAAACGTTTCCAATCCTTAAAAATATTTGTTAGTTCCTAAAATAATTTTTACTACAAGAGAGGGAATGTCTGTGCCAACACAATCTCTTTTCAAGCTAGGGAAGACTGACAAAAAAAATGTCCACATTTTTGGACCTCTCTGAATGAAAAAAATTCCCAAATCTAATTCCACCTCAGTCTCATTTGTTTTCTACAACACCCATCATTATTCCTTTTATCCCGTTAATCTGTACCCTTCTTATTTTTTACTTACTTTACTATTTCCGACCTCTGTTATCTTACAGTATCTAGGAGAGAAGCAAATAGGTCTCTCTTGACTCTTCTTACTATGAGGTTAAAAAAAGGTACCACAACTTGCAAGTTTAAACGACATCTACATTTCCAGTTATCACTAAAAAGTTCTACCTGCACATTCGGTTGACTTTTCTAAGCCAGGAACACTCATCCTGGGATATCAGCAGTGTAAGTTCTTCCTGCGCAACTGGATCCTTGAAAATTCTTTTCAGCGAGTAAAATTAAAAGTTTATAGTACTTTTATGCTTTTCTATCTATAGCTGGCCTCCACCGGAGGGCAGTAGCCTGCTGCATGTGGTCAGATATGTTACAATCTCTTTTGATCTGGTCCATAGAACATCAGGTCTAGGCCGGGTATTGTCTTGTAGAAGCGGTTTGCGATACAGGTCTCCATGCAGGCACTCAAAAAGTGCGTGTCATAAGTCGTCAAGACTGACACCACATTTCGGGCACGAGTCGACTGGGGCAGAGCCTATCCTATCTTTTGTACTATTCATAGTGTGTACTGACTCCTGACTTTTTAGTGAGGACCCAAAGATCAACCTCAACAGAAGCTTTAGTTGAAAAAAAAAAGCAAACAGCTGATCTACTTCTTCCAGTCATACATCTAGCGTATAACATAATCAACATTTCAGTTTAAATATTTATGTCCTATCCTAAACTTGATGAAGCAAATATAAATGTAACTTCAAACTTCCTTTATGTAATTTTTGTGCCTGTAACAGCAGAAACATTATTAATAAAACAGACAGAGACACTCACTTGATTGTTCAATTTTCCAGAAGAACCATCATTGACAGAAGTGATCTCCAAACCATCACCAAGGAATTTGCACATCTCCTTCATTTTGAGAGCTCCAACACCATTGGCTTGATCAAGATACAGTTGAGGCCTGTACTTTGACTTTGATCCACCCTGTTTAAAATAAAAAGACGATATCTTACTCTGGACAATTTTTATATTAGATAAAGAGTTAATAACCGTGACAATTTGAACACATTCTCATAAGGTGACTCTCCATTAGAAAACACAGTCAAACCTGCTCTAATGGCCACCTGTATAAGACAATCAACTGTACAAATGGCCACTTCCCATTTCTTCCCTTCTGTATTTTTTTAAACATTATAATGACACTATCATTTTAGAAAGAATAGTATAGGCAGTTTTTACAATTTTACAGGAGAGTAAAAAAACTGAATGTTGTTACCAAGCAAACTACATTTGCTTTAAATATAATAAGGAATTATTAAAATTGTACTTAAAAATAATAATTTGGGATGTTTGCAAAGAGTTTTCAGTTTTTTATTACAATATTCGGGTTTTTTTGGGGCTCTACTATAACATTCAAAAAACTGCGTACACTGTACTTTTAAAAATGATGACAGAATGGTTGGCTATCTTAGACAGTTTCGACTGTATACTCATATAATATAACGTACACACACACACACAAAATCATACTAGCACACACACACAGATACATAAGTATGTTTAAGTCTTTGTGTGTGTACGTATGTGCGTGTGTGTGTGTTTATACACATGTAAATAAATCAGGCATCCCTATCAATTTATAAACAATCACAATTCTCCTTATCATTAGCGACCTACATTTTACACATGAGGTTATATACAGACAGATGCCAAAATGCATCCACATTTTTACCAGATACAGAGAGAAAGAGCAACAAGTAGACCGATAGACAGATTAACTATCGAAAGTATCAGCACCCACCCTAAAAAAACAAACAACCAAGCATAGAATGTAAAAGGCATAATCTTCTTTTCCCTTCAAGTTTAAAGAAAAAAAGGAGAGAGGGAAAGCTGGCCATTTTGCAGGAGTATTTTCTATGGCATATATATATACATAGACTAGAAAGCGTACGTTACGAGTGTATGCGTGTACACGTACGTTGTCTAAAACAGGCTTACAACACTTCATGTTACTATGCAATTTTCAAAAAGCCATAAATAAATTTGGTAGATAACAAGAGTGGAGAGGCACGTTCACATAAACTTGAGGTATTAGCAGCCTGGTTTCCTGCAGGTGCTCCCCTGCCACAAGGTGCTAATCTAAGATAAACCCATGAGTGTGCGCCGCTTAAACCCCAAAACAGAAATAGCTCAATAAATCTAAACAGCTCTCTCAATAACAACCCTAACAACTGTGAGCGAAGGTGAAGAAAGCCAAGTAAAGGCACCCTGAAAGATAGTTCTCACTAAACTGGACCATAGTTCTTCAGCTCTGTACTTCTTCAGCATGGCTGCAGAACACAAAAAGGTTCAATTTGGTGCCCGTGAATTTCAATTGAGACTTGTGTATTCAAACTATACAAATACAATAAATTTTCAGTACAGTTAAAACACTACTACCTAAAGGGACAAAGATTCCTCCTTCACTAAACCAAAGGCCATGGACACAACCACGAGTATAATGTGAATGACAACCAGGCAAAAAAAAAATCAAAACTTATTCTTACCGAGTTCAATTTACCGAAAGCAGCAGAAAGTTTTTGATAGTATCCTTCCTCTGTGGGTTGACCGTACTGGCCCTGAGTGTTCTCACAACAAACAATGAAGTGGAGTTGTGGGGTAGACAGCAAGCCTGGAAAACATCCACACAATCACAAGGGATATCATACATTTTCTCAAACTTGATAAAATCAATCAAATGTGGTTTGATTTACGGACTTGAATGGTACATATAGAAAGATTAAGCAAGAATTAAATATTGATCAATCCATACCCCCCCCCACTCAACCTTTACAAATTTCCCCAAACACAGACAAAATGCAGTTTGAAAGATGGACTTAAATATAAGTAAACAGAAAGATTAAACAAGCTCCCTCATAAACATGTGTGAACTGAATAACTATGGGATCAACAATGGCTGGTGTACCTGATGAACAGTTACAACAACTACAAAGAGTACAAAATATAGCTGCCAAAATAATTACTAAGAAACTAAAGCACGATCGTGTGATTCCTATTTTAAAAGAATTACACTGGCTCCCGGTGAAAGAGCGTTAAATATATAATATCTGTTTAACTTGCTACAAGTGCTTACATGATTTATCACCTGACTATCTAAAACAGTTTTTAACACCGTATGTGCCTCCTAGAACGCCCAGATCATCAAGTGACAAAACAACCCTTGTTAAACCTAAAATAAATTACAAATCATATGGCCAACGCTCCTTTTCATATTTTGCCCCACTTGTTTAGAATAGGCTTCCAAAAACTATCAGAGAAGCAGAAAATCTAGAAATTTTTAAGAAGAAACTAAAAGCATTTCTATTTTCATCATATTTCGATTAGACAGAATCCATCCAAACTGTAGATCGTTGTGAGTTTGTATGTGCGCATGTGCATATGTACGTATGTGTGTATGTATGTGTGTGTGGTGCGTGCATGCGTGAATATGTGTGAGCACGAGTATGTAACACTATGAGCCTTTAAAATTGATTGGTAAATCCATAATATGTATCATGTTAAGCGCATAGAGCATTGCATAAGTGGATATGTGCTATATAAATGCAATCCATTATTATTATTATTTATTCTAAATATTGATATTTTGGACACATCATTAGCTGCTCAAAACACAATAATATCACCAACAGAAATAAGGAAGCAAAAAGAGGAAAAGGAGAACAAGTATATATCGAAATAAAATATAAGACAGCATAAATGTGTATTCCTACAGTATATTTACACAAAGTTAAACTGATCAACATTTGTCATATGGTCGGGGTTGCCCCTGCCAGTATTCCAAGTGGAAGCTTTCATACTTCAAGATAAATATTGTGTCTTCTTCCTCTCGCACCCCTGCTAGAGCTCAGGGAGTAACCAACTGTAAGATCTTCATCTCACAGTGCAGTTGACTAAATGTTCACAGCCATATCTATCTACACGGAATGTAGAGTCATCCCAAGCTTGACAGGTAGCCAAGTGGCATTTTTCAAGGTACTTTTAATATCAATACTGATTAAATAGGCTTCAGTTTTAGGGCAGGAATCAATTTTGAATTTCAGCCCAACAGCAGCCCGAAGGGAATACTCTTTTTGACTTACAAAGCGCCAGAGTGTCTTTAATGCGAGAAACTGTCACACAGGACCTCTGAAAGTTTTTGTTCTTATCTGAGAAGACTAGGTGTTTGATCCTACCGCCTACCCATTCTTGAATCAGGAGGTGTAGAAACTAAGAAAAAAACCCAAAGCTGGCAGGGATCAAATTCCAGACCTCCAGGTTGACAGGCAAACACTGTACTCCTTGAGTGACTGAGCTCCCTCATAAACATGTGTGAACTGAATAACCATGGGATCAACAATGTCTGAACACTGTTCATATTCATGGGTCTTGATAATGGTAGACAAATTGCATGTCTTTAGCAGCTTCTCCTTATATGTTGTATTTTTGGGTCTTTTTTGCCTTGTGAATACAGTTGGAACAGTTTAAGATGGACACACATTGTCAAGGAGAAAAGTGGCTGCATTAGACAGGTGGCCGTCTTACACAGTGTCATTATAACTTAAAAAGTAAGCACGAGAAAAATTGGGAAGTGGCCATTTGTACAGGTGATTGTGTTATATAGGTAGCCCTTAGAGAAGCTTTGACTGTAGTCAGTTTCATCGTCCACTTCAATTGTCCTAAAATTTTCGCTATTCAAAGACAACTTTACGAACTAAGACTTTTCTGAGGATTGTCTCTTCTCAACTAATAATATATGTGTAGAAAAGCAATAAATACAACATATTCTAAAAATGTTTCAACACATTAAGAGGAGATATGTCGCCCATGAGAGACTGGTTGAGATTCCCTGGACTTCACAAGTCTAGTCTGATATATGTTGATAATGACCATGGCTTATGGAGATATGCTACATCTGGGCCCATCTCTTATCAAGTAACATTCTAGGTCACTTACTTTTTCTTCTTCTTCAAAATCTATTTTCCTACAAACTACTGAAATACAAACATAAATTATGGAAATGAAATCTAATAAAAGCAAAACATAAAAGGTCTGCAGAATACCTATATATCAATGAGCTGATGGAAACAAAAGAGTGGTCCCTCAATTAATCATTAGAACAGCTGCTGCTATCAACACCTCTTCCTCTCCTATTTAATGTCCATACTATTAAGCTCCACATAAAAGACAGCCAAGAGAGTTATACTCTATGTCCTTTGCCACTTCACTCAGACGGCAACAGACTTAACAACCGAAAAGTGAACACCTGGCTTGGGTACGCTCTTTTCATAAACAGGTGTTAAATTTATAAATGAAGCCTTAGGAAGAATATTTAAGCAGGATGTCAACAGGTGAAATATTCCACACACAGATCATGCATCAACGAAAGTACTCTTTGAGTGAGTGCCTCACTTACCAAAATTCTTACATGTCCCTCCAAGAGCTTCAATGCCATCAGTTGCAGCCTGTGCTAAAGCTTTGCTGCTTGGCCTACCAGGGAGGTTAAAAAGTCAAACTTCTTTTTTGTTCATGGACGAGCAATTCAAAGCATTAATACAGACTTAGTAGAGGGCCCGTTCTACAAATTCACCAACACGAGAGAGAGAGAGAGAGAGAGAGAGAGAGAGAGAGAGAGAGAGAGAGAGAGAGAGAGAGAGAGAGAGAGAGAGACAGAGAGAGAGAGAGAGAGAGAGAGAGAGAGAGAGAGAGAGAAAAAGAGAGACAGAGAGAGAGAGAAAGAGAGACAGAGAGAGAGACAGAGAGACAGAGAGAGAGACAGAGAGACAGAGAGAGAGAGAAAGAGAATGTTATTGAGTTGGGGGGGGGGGGGGTGACATGTGTGGGACCAATGAGCTGTGTTTAAACATTTTATATACATTTATATGATATTTGTCAAAACAATTTATTTGTTACAAAAAACAAACTAAGAAGGTATCATGGTAAGTATATAAGTAACCGTAATCACAAAGTAAATCAAGAGCAATAAAATGGTAAATCAAAAGCACCGATTAAAATTAAGCAAAGAAGAAAGGTGAAAAGGTAACTACATTATAACGAGACAACAACAACTAGAAGATATACATAGTTTTTAAAAAAATACAGGTTCACTTTAATTTTTTTCAAAAAGAAAAAAAAAAGAAGACTTTACAAGCTGATATTAGTATTGAGGGGAGTGTCTCAAAACAGTGAAAACGATATCAGCAAGAGGTCTGATTTCAAACCACGTGAAATAGCAGAATCTTGAACAAATTAAAACTGCTGTTGTCCCTAAAAAACCCAGTAAGTATTGTGTTCAACTATAAATTAAGTTCCCAGCTCTCAGAAGGTAGAATGTACACATACCTTGTATCCATGGCAAGCATGACAGTTGCGGGTTTTGACATGTCAATATTCTCCGTTGTAATGATGTCCTTTAAACTGTCGGCTATCAGAGCATCACTTGAGCAAAAAAAAATACAAAAGAAAAATTGAGATAATCAGTATAAAAAAAGTTGTTTTGAGAAAAGAGAAAACAAAACATATTCTGCACAGAACCTTATTTTTAAAACAATTTTCCTCACCTGTTGAAAATTTGTACTAACTTCAACTCCAGCTAAATATTGATGTGGGAGAACAATATTATATATATATTGTATCAGCTTGCTATATATATTAACCCTTTGAGCCCTGATCTGAGGCTACCATGCCCTTCTGCCTGAGCTCCTGAGCAATTCATGCCTTCATTCATATCGTCAGATCACATACGACATCCCACTTAGGGTAATCTTCATCATTACCAGGATCTAAATCAGAAAGACTTCAGAGTTACCGATAATGCCCTGTGTAGAGAATATGTGCACATTTTGTCCCAAATTGGCCGGGCTGGGAATACTGTCTCGCTCACTTCTGTACCGGTGGCTAGGCATATGGGCAATTTTATGCTCCATCAGTGTACCAGTGGTTAGGGACTGTAAAAATGCTAAACTACATTAAAAACAAAACATGAGACTGATTTTCTTTTACGATATCAACTGATGTATACACTTATTTTTGCTGAAATAAACAATACACATACTGAACAAAAAATGTTATGCTGTCTAATCAGCGGGATAGAGTTACATTAGCAATCGCAGCAAGGAGAAAGAATCCAAGACTAATTTCAATGATGGCTATATTGGCATTGTCCATGACACTGAATGAAAAAGTGAAAATCAAATAAACAAACAAACCAAAAAACAAACAAAAAACCCCAAAAGAAGGGGGAAAAAAGCAAATTGGAGATGGGTATGTTTTGACCTAAATCAACAATCAAATTAGAAAATATAATAATATGAAAAATAATTTAAGGCATTTCTTGTCAGGAAATGTAAATGAGTCTAATTGGTTGCTTTTAAGCCCAAGGGGGCTATCCCGAAAAGATGCTGTTTTGAGAAAATCGAAGGTAAAGTTTTTACCCCTTGTACAGTTTCTTCAAAAAGAAAAGGAGAGTTTTCTCTAAAACCAAACAAATATATATACACACCAATGAACTTCTCCTATAGGTAGGGCAATGCCCACTTTTGGTGTAGGTCAAGCTTTCTGGAAACCCTCGAAATCTGAGTTAGCCCACTTGTTCTTAAAAGCGACCAATTTTATCCTTGTTTCGGAACTTCAAGGCCAATCAAGAGTGAAAAAAAAAAATGTATCACGATGGAATACCACTAGCTGGTCTTACCTGACATTTACGAGCTGAGTGGCATACTTTTCCCATGACATGGGCATCATCTCCCCGAGGGTGCTAACTATCTTGACACCATTGTCTTCCTCTGGGTTGTGGGAAGCAGTGATCATGAGCCCAGTAGTGCCTGATAAATAAAAGTCACCTTTACTTTAATCGTTAATGGTCAAGACTAAATAATATGTGTTGAAGAGTTTACACCTCTGCGTAATATTTTGCCAGGGGCAAATACTCACTCATCAAGATTAATAGCAAAAATGCGATCACGTTTATGGGAGTAGATGGTCTGTGACACGATGAGAGTACACCGATCACACATCTTTGCTGCTCGTTTGATAAGGTGCGCACACAAAGGTTTTTATTCAGTAAATTATGATCTAAATTAATAGGATCTCAACCAAACTTAGTCCCTTCATAGCAAGATCTTACGGTTGACTTTTGAGTAGTTAAAATTTTGTTTTTCATCTTAGACGGAGACTATTATGCGTTGTAACATCTAAAAATACGGGCAGTACTTTGTTATGAGAGAACCAATAGATCACAGAGATAGACGACAGAGTCCTGTAAATCCCTTTATGATTTAATCTTGTAAGAATTATTTTCCCATGAGTCCAGAGCAGCCACTATTAACTATAAGATCAACTCAGGACTCTTAGCAAAAATCGAGGAGTAGGCCTTTAACTTGCAAAATAGAATATAATAGAATGTGGAGCATGACATTAAAAAAAATAAAAGTGATTTTCACATCAGTTTGAAAATGTTAGATGTGCAAAATAACAAGGCAGAAAAAATTCCACTGCACCAGTAGCAATAAAAACAAGGTGGAAATTCTCAATTAAAAAATTGATGTTTTTTTACTAAGTCTCAGCTTGTTCTTAGTCTCATTAAATTTTTTTTTAGCTAGCCATATAACAGAATTATTAAAGAAAAATACTAGACCAGAAACATAAGAGTTGCTGTTTATTCAGTCATAATACCAGGACATAGCCAGCAGTTGTAGGTTTTTCTAACAATGAGCATATAGTATTGGACTAACTTTAGACTTTAGAACATTCTTTTCATTCTCGAAATTAGCTGAGACCAATTAAGATTTTCCATTTGACTTGTGTATAGTAAGCTCAGTCAGTAGACTAATAATGATTAAAGTTAGGCTGTGTGCACCAAGTCAGTGGTCATTTTCCACTGTTTGTGGTTCAAACTTTCTTCCACGTAAAATCATATTTTCTTAGGAAAACAGTGGGCAATTAATATAGAACACTAGGAAGAGTTATCTCTGAAGCGGTTTTGATCCATGCAAAGTAAGCAGTCTTTTATTTTTAAATGAGTATAGACACAGGCTCTGCAAGTCCAAAAAGTAGTTCAAATAGTAACCTTACTTACAACCACGTAAAATGTGAAAAATTAAAACCTACCTGACTTGTACTTGGAAAACACAACTGACAGCAATCCCATTCTGTATAGAACATGGTCTAATTTCTCTGCCCTGAAAAATAAATACACAATACTAAGAAGATGTCTTTGATTCTCTTAAAAAGCATAATCAGTGCAGTCTATTCTATCAGATATTCAGTACCGATTAAAATGTATTTATGCCATGTCAAACTGGGTTGTTAGAGTAAATTTTCCTTTCACACCCAATCAAAATATACACTGCTTTTGGGGGCAAAACCAACCTATACTATACGTGGGAGCACAACACAATTATCATCATGACCATTAAAACTATCACAAGAGTAAATCAATTGTTTACCAGAAAAGTTAATCTCAAACCTTGCAAGGCATCAAATCATGCTCAGTGCAGGGCAGCTTACTCCCCTGAAACCTAAAAGATTCATGGGTGGGGTGGGGGTGGGGAGAAGCCATCCTGAAACCCCCCAGTTTGTGATAAAATACGTGAAATGAAATATTGAACGGGGATAGACTCTAGATCTATATCTAGAATCTAGATTCTACAGTCAAAATTCACGTAAAAGTTAAAAATTGCGAAGTGACTATTCGGACTCGAGTCTGAATATCAAAAAATGTTATTCGGACTCTCATTCTTGTCCAGCATGACATCACTTCCGACTTCCTGTGACTCCGGCTTCCTGTCCTGCCTCACTCGTGACTCGCCTCAGGCTGGGTAGAGACCGGGATCACTTCCGGCAAAATGGCGTTAAATTGTGCTGGAGCCGAGTTTTGATCTTATAATGAATTTGAGGCGGGCCTGAAAAGTTATAGCGCTTCTAATAAATGTTTATTTGTCAAGAGGTCATCAGAAGCAATTAAAAATGGCTCGTTAGCGTGTGTCGGGGTCGGATGGGCGGCCTGCACACGTGTGGCTGTGTGTGCGTGTCGGGGTAGGGGGGCACTATCGGTCCGAGCATTGAACGTAGCATACGCGTCAGTCTCCCCCCCCCCTCCCCCCACACGGCAACTGATCATTATTACATTTACAATAATAAGCTAGTCTTGATGCAGATCTACGTGATTGAATTGTGCGCTGGTCTATGGAATCAAAAGTTGCCGTATGCTCGGCTCTACACAGCAACACAATTTTTTCTTGGTAAACAATCGAGATGACACAGGCTTGTGTATTTGAACGAATCGGTCTTTTTTTTTTTGCACAGCTCATAATATGCAGGTGCCAGGTGATCTGCTAATCTTCAATTTTAACTTTTTCTACAACAAAGAAAGTGGGAAACATGGGGAGCGGGGTTGTATCATTGAGTCGGCGGGCATCGGATTGGCAGATAAGGTGTGGGGGAAACTAAAAAATGGCGGAAAATTGGAAGCACTGAACGTTAGATCTATAGAAAGAAGACACTTCCTTTTTTCCGGACCCGTGTCCGAATAAAAATTTTTCATATTCGGACTCAAGTTCGAATATGAATTTTTTTTTATTCGGACTCGAGTTCGAATATGAAAAAATGTTATTCGGACTCAAGTCCGAATAATGATGGCCTAAAAATTGACCCCAAAAAAGCGCTAGATCTCTAGATCTAGACCTATATATATATGAACGCTGTGAAAGTAAAATAATACCCTTATAAATAATAAGTTATTTAAAAAAATGATAGATCTAGATCTAGAATCTAGATCTAGATCTAGATCTATAAAGAGTGATAATTTGGGCTTTCACAACCACAACGCCTCCAATCATCCAAATAAGGTTGGGTTTTTTAAAGGTGTTTTTTTTTGGGGGGGGGGGCAGGCTTTACCTTACCCAAGACCCAGTCTACAATCTTGCCAAACACGAGAGACCATGAATCTCTGCGTTCTTGGCCTTTTCTTTTGAAAGTTAAGGCTGTGGTCAGTTGAGACTTCGGCCCGGACATTTTGCAGACCGTGCCGTGCGACTGCCGGCCGGTCGACCGGCAACAATCAGAACCAGGAACTTTGTCGGAAGAACTCGATAAAGAAGACAGAAGTTAGCTAACAAAAATGAATCAATGGCACTATCAAAAAGCAAAAACTAATATTCACCTCATCCGAAATCCAGCAGTACCATAACTAAGCTCCTGTTCCAAGGAACGAGGATGTTTTTGTGCTTCGTTGACAGCTCTCGACAACGCATCCATGTTTAGCACAGTTGGCAATGTAAATACCAGGCAAGATCTAGGCCCTAAATAGGCTACCAGAGTGTCCTCCCTTTTACTCGGTGACCAAAGAACTGCCGGTGACGAGGTAATAAGTGTTTATTAGCAGAAGAAGACGAAGAAAAAAACGACAATCACAACTGGAAAAAAAAAGACAAAAACAAATCTTTGACTTTGAAAGTTATTTATTAGTTGATGATTGAAATAGATTCTACATGTATTTTGACTGGTATAATTTTATTGGCAGAATAAACTGTTTTAAAAGGCGTTTCAAAGATACACTTTTTTGAGTAATAAGAGCAAGAAATTGACAAACATGCAGATCTATGCCCTATTTATCGGCTCAGATCAGAGCTTCTGTCCAACACTATTTTTTATAAATAAAAAAACCACGCCGCTCCACCCGTCCCTGAACTCCATTTTACACTGAACACACACACACATACACACACACACACATTCAGTCACTCTGCAAGAGAATGACATAGTAATGCATGTAGATCTAGATTTTGTATCAGCAGGAAAATGCGGGAATATGGTATCGCAATTTGCCAATAAGGGATCGATACAAATATGTCTCTTGGTGATGATTATGATTACTTCACTTCATGGTCTCGGTGTCTCGCCGAGAGAAAATGGGAAGAGATCAACAACAATAGTTCTAGGCCTAGCAGAGAGCGAAATATTTCGGCTCGAATCAGGCTGGAGCAAGACTATCTTCATTTTATAACTGAGTTTAGGAAAGTATTACTCTCAAGTAAATTGCAGGGCAGTGGTTGTGACTTTGCATTTACCAAGCACTAACAGTAGCCAACAAAAATGTCGGACGATGAGTTCATGTGTGGAGATGACGAGGAGGAATACGACTTGGTAAGTGAAAGTGTCGAGTCCAAGTTGAATCTCAAAAACTAGACTGAGACTTTAACTAATGTCTAGATCTAGATCTAGAATCTAGATCTTGATAGAATAGATCTACTTATTAGTATTATTATGGTATCATTTTAGTTTCACTACCGACTCATGCTCAGGTGTGTAGATGGTGATCTTATAGTTCCGTTCGTTCGTTATAAGTCCATGATCCATGTGTTTACATCCAGAGAAGAAATCCAGAAGTCTTGATGACCAAACACTATTTGAAATAGGCTGCACAAAGAGCAGGGATGCAACCTAACTGCAAAACATCAAAGTAGTGCCCCCCTGAATCCCCCCACCTCCATATTTTTATCTAAGTGCCTATTTCTCCGAACGTTCGGAGAAATAGTGCCGATCTTTATTTCTCCGAACGGTTTCCGGCTTCCGGTCTCGTGATTTT